TGACAAATAAAGATGACTCTGATTTTGATTCACATTCCTCTTTGCCTTGAGCCAATAGCTTATATCTTAGGGCTGCTCAGCTGCAGTGTACCATAGCACAGGGCTCGCATCGAAAGTAGGTCAATAAGAACATAATTAATGCTTTTCACTTTTAACCTGAATTCATTTGAACCTCTTTTCTGCGTCTGTGGTATTTGGGCAGCACAATATATGAAGACATCAGTGCACGTAAATGTTTAAGCAGAAGCAGTCGAACTAAACCGTGTTTATTTTCTCTTTCCCAGACCGCTATTTCAAGGGAAATCAGATGTTGACCAGCTGGGAAAGATTTTTGAGTAAGTATTATTGGCTGTGTTTCCTGTTACAGCTTCGGAGGTCCTGTATGTTATATTTTCTTGAGAATGAATGTACAACCTGGGTAAATGAAGGGTATCCAGACACTGGATTAAAGCTCTCAGCGCTCCGTGAACTTAAGTCCAGTGTGCGGATACTGTCTATTTTTCTTTCATAGAGCCTATTATCCTGCACACGGCCTAAATATAGAACAGGATGTGCACTACTTTTCTGTAATTAATAAAGAACCTCCTGGATTAGGTTATACTGCTCTGCTAGGGTGAATACTATTAGCAACCTAGGATAATTCCATTAAAGATTTGAACTTGAGAAGCAGTGAATGCTGCCCATTGGTGATTGTGAAGGGGCTGATGACCATTTGTGCCCCACAGTGGTGTTGGGGTACCTTCAGCAGAAGACTGGCCCCAGGAAGTGGCCCTACCACAGAGTGCCTTCACCCCCCGGCCCCCAAAACCAATAGAGAACTTGGTTCCAGACATGGACGAGCAAGGACGGGCCCTCTTAATGGTGGGTTTTTAAATCATGATATCGCAGTCATAGATGAATTGACCAATCTTTCTATCTAGTTTATCTCATCCCTCCCCCTTTTCTCCTCTCTCCTTTGCAGCAATTCCTCGCCTTCAACCCCTCCAGGAGGATATCAGCCTTCGCTGCGCTGAGCCACCCCTACTTTCAAAGTGTGGACAGCCACAGTAGAAGTGTGTATGCGGCCCAGCCCATCCCCAGCAACAAGCCCACTATAGAGGAGAGAACTGCCTGACCGCCCTCCTCCACCCTTAAGCATCCCATGCAGTGTCTTTAAAAAAGTATTCTGCATACCCCGCCTCGGTGTTGTTCATGTTTTTTATTGTTTACAGCATTAAATCAAAGTGTGTTGATTAAGCTTTTTTGACACTAATCCTCAGATAACTGTAAAATGTCAAAGTAAAAATAAATCTGTAGAAATAGATATCATTTCAGTACAAATATAGTGTTTACCACATCCAGGCAATATTTTGTAGAGGCACCTGTGACATAATTTACAGCCTTGAGTCTATGTGGTTATAACTGCATCAGCTTAGCATGTTTGGATCACATTGCTACAGCATTATGCTACCATCATCAGGCATTACATACCATTAAGTTTCTTGGTCAAAAAGCTTGATTTTGGTGTCCTCCCACCATGGAGCCTTCTTTGGCTCCCACATGGCTTTGGGCAAATGCAAGCTGAAATGTCATGAGATCTTTAAACAGTGGCGTTCTCTTTGCCAGTTAGCGATGAAGCTAGAAATGCACCCAGGCAGCAGTAGCTGTGGGCTCAGTTAGGGAACCGGGTACCTCCTTCATTGTCCATAGACCTCTTAATGGCCTTCCTCACTATTTCCTTGAAGATGCCTGGCTCTAGACAGACTTGTACTCAATGCTCAGTGCCTTCAGATTTGACCGGTATCCTTCCACTGATTGGTACTTTTCACTAACCTTGTTGTAGATTGTTTTCGTGTTTCTGTTTTCATAGTGTAGGTTATGCCAGCTGTAGGACCCTGCAGATGCCGGTGCATTTAGCTTTTAATCGCATCTTGACTACACACAGGTGATCGCCATTCTATGTATTATTCTAACAGGCTGCACTAGTGATAAATGAAAGGTGTCATAGTTAAGAGGGGTGATTCTTAGGTTGTCATTTCAATCCATTTGTTTTCTCTTTGACTTTAAAGAGACATTTTTCTGAAGATCAAGTGTCGAAAAAGCTTCATCAACTGCGATTCCGTGTTGTACGTAAAAACAAAAACATGAAACAGACACATGGGGTTTTTTATACTTTTTATGGCCATTGTACAAAGCTCCAATAAAGTACTCCTAAAGAGAGGGTAAAAATAGTGTCGAGACAGACGACACCAACGTTCTCGGCCCCTGAAAAATGCACAAAAGCTATCCTTCCTTCCATGAACTGATGGATTGTAAATGCTGCTTTTAGGTTGTTAAATGTTGACGATTGACTGATAACAATGCAAAAGAGACTTGCATCTCAGATTGAATGGTAGTAGTGGGCAGGCAGACTGCAGAGGCCTTTTTTTGAGCCTCGCAAGAACCCTCATTACTTTGGGGTGGACCAGACCCTACAGGAGCTCGGATGGACAGCATGGACCTCACCTGCCCTTTTGTGCTTACTGTGGGTGTGTGCAGTGAGCAGATACACAGTACAAGCACGCTCACAGATATGTACAACATTTAGTGTGTGCACTACCACTGACATTTAGCCACGCTCATGTACACACCTACTTATTGAAACATTACTAGGCATCACAAGCCAGCCACTCACTGCCATGTTGTGACTTATCATTCCAGTTCTACGTGTATTATATTACTGCCACCTTGAGGATGTCCTGAGTAACTGCAGACCAGTAGCGGGATTCTAATGGTTTCTGCACTCTTCAAGGAACTCATCATAATGGGCTGATATTAGTGCTGAGACAATGATGAAAGAAATGTTCCTGCCACTCATTTTATGACTTGCTTTTAGTCTACCATCATGGGCTTTTTATCATTTTAAGATACAATTATTATTTACTATCCAAATGACTCAGTAATGCACAGGCTTGCAATAGGTGGAGGAAGTTCCACCAGCACTAGTCAACATGAATACATTTGGCACAGAATAGTGTGGCCAATATTCTGTATTTAAGTTTAATTTTATTGACAAGTCTTATATGCTTGTTTTTATCAAGTTGTTACTTGATTTTTTTTTTTTTTTTT